ATAGCCAGAGGGGGTGCAGCCATTGTTGGCAGCTTCCCGCATGGATGTCAAATACCAGCGCATGCAGACAGGGTCTGAGGTCTGCCCCCAGTGGACAAAGCCAGTCCCCTTTCTTTGGGCTGGACAAGATCTAAGGAGAGCACTGACTTAAAGGGGGTTCCACAGATTTTTTGATGTATAATTTGAATATTGAGTCATTTGGAATGGTTTGATGTGAAATAGAGCATCATAGGGAAACTTCCTGATTTCTGGCCGTTTTATTAACTCCCCAAAATTTACTCTCAGAACTAACTCAGAATAATGTCTGTAGGATCAGACAACCTATTTGGAACTGTTTTATGTAATAGCATTCTCTGAGAGAGATTTTAGAGGTATTAAATGCTTTAAATGTCTGTGTACTTAAGTACTCAAAAGCCTATTAGAAACACTACGAACAACGCTGGAATGGAGTATTTCACATCAAACCACTCTGAATTACTTTGTGTACTTCTTAACAATTTAATTATGCAGAAATTCCCCTTTAAAACAAAATAGGTGGTTAAGGTGTGCACTAAAAGCATATACATCTACTGCCTCATGACTTCAGGACATGCAACTGTGTGAAAAATTTGTGAACTCTCTGGAATTATCTGCATTTCTGATCATGTAAGTCATATTAACAAACAACAGCATTTTAAAGTGTTGTCTCTTTATTGAACAAATGGTTTAAACAGTCAAGGTCATTGATAGAAAAAACATGCAAGCACAAAAATGGCTTAAAGAGGGCAATTAGAGTCCGATCTTCCAAGCTGTTTGACCTTCCATTTAAAACCACACAATGGTTACCTGATCCTCATGAAATTCTGTTCAGTGCAACATGAACTATTTAAAGAGTTTTCAGAGGACCTCAGACAAAAGAGTAGTTAAAGGTTATAAAACTAGAAAGAGATACAAATGGCAGAAATTCAGCACCATTACTAGTTTTCTTAGGACAGGATGTCCTACAAAGATCAGCCCAAAAGCTTGCTGAGGAATACCTTGACTGTCAGCAAAGTATCTCCAGGCATCCATTGGGTTTGATAATGTCTGTGCTCAAAAGTCTGACCTAAGACAAACATCGAACAAGAATGATGTTCATAGAGGTTTACAGCGCAGGGAGCCAGTGCTCTGAAAATGCCTCTGGCCTGGAGAGCTTTATTTGAGGGTCCAGTGATCTATCAAGAAATACTGCAGCAGAACATCAGGAGTTTTATATTTCAGAACGGCCAAATCTGAAATGCTGTGGCCTGACCTGAAGAAGGCTGTTGAAGCAAGACATGTACAATATGACACTGTGTAGGACTGCTGGGCAGCTGCAGAGCATGTCTGCTTGGGATTACTATAAAAATATAGAGGAAAAACTCTAAATATAAGTTAAGGGTGCCCAAACATTTGTCATGGGGGGCCAAAGTGCAATGTTTGTGGGGAGCAGAGGGCCAAAAAGACAAGACAGTATACAAACATAGAAGATAGGTAGGTTTCAGATTGAGTTGAAATGTATTTTATAATATATGGTTAGAAGTAAAGGTACTTTTTTGATTCATCAAGGTACAAACAATGTAAATGTTCCCTCAAAGGTACAACAGTGGTTTGTACCGTAAAGAAGTTTTTACCAAGTGAAAAGTATGTATTTTGACCTTTTCATAGCCTAATGTTTTAAAACAGAACAATAAAGTAAAAGGCCCGGAGACGAGACGGGACGTGTGGAGTCAATACAACTTAGAAAATATAATTTCAATGGATTATGATACAATTATGTTCCCTGATTAAGGTACTGAGATTTACCCTTGAGGGTACCACCCCAGTGACAAGAGGGGTACTGCCCCAGTGACAGTTTCATACCTTTTTTCTAAGAGTGTAGTACACTGCATTTTGTTCTTGAAATACTTCCATACTAAAAGGAAAATAATAATCTTTTATTGAGTGAGCGAGTGAGTGGGATAAACGTGGCCAATTTTGACCTGGGGGCCACACGTCAGGCAACAGTTTAAATAATTTGTTAAATGAGGATATATGTTAAATTCCTTTTTGAGAATATGACGAATGTTAGCTTTTAGGAGCCATTTATGCAGAAATCCAAAAAGAAACATCAAGCACTTTCTAAATAAGTCAGTGTTTCTCTTAGGTAAACCTTGGAGGTCTTCATTACTGTAAATATTTCACTTTTCAAGGACTCTTTTTTAACCCATAAGGAGCATGAACATTAGCTGATAATTGACATTTTTAAGCTTAAAGCTCCGTTCAATACTGTATACTTCCTTACAGAATGTTACACCATAGCACATGTTCCAAACCCTCTTCTTGCTCCCAGCACACTTGATCCTACTAATCAGTTCATTAACCCCAGAATGCATGACCCGAAAAACATACGCAAATGCATAAAGGGGATCAAAATTGGAATCAGGTTTTCTTCAAAGAAAAAGTGTCTGTGAAACAGTATTTAGTTATTTACTTATTTATTTATTTAGTCATTCTCTCATCCCATCACTCAGTGACATGTCTAACAATAATAGTAACAGAAGCCACGCTCAAAATTTTCTTGCTATCAAGTGTTAACAAGCTAAATTACCTGGCCAGCTAAGCATTAGCTCTTGTAGTTTGCTACCTAGCTGATTTCAAATATCTATATTTTGAAATTTATGTCTTATTTTTACTGAGCCAATCAAGAGAAGAGTTGTTCTCAGAAATTCCTTTTTTTTATAAAGAAAAAACTATGAAACTGACCGTCACAACCATTTTTTATTAATCCATTGAGTGTTATATATTAAAATATTCTCATTGACAAAACTTATCAAAAAATACCACAGTAAGTCAAAACTCTATAGGCAAAGCCTAGGGCTCATATTTACCCTCTCTACGAAGACTTGGGGTGCAACCAGAAATGTGGAAATGACATTTGTAATTGTCTACAGGCAATTCATAATCACTTTGTGTTTATAGATCAATCGTATGCAAATGCTGAGAATTTATCTATTATTTATCAACTTATTTAGAATGAAATAGTATATTTTATAAATGAAGCCTCAGAGTTGGGAACCTGTGTATTATAGAAATGCAAAATGGATGTTTACTTCATTTTCATATGAATTGTCATGGAGTCTCCCCCCTGGGAGATCTCACATTGATCATTCCAGTCTGGATTGGATCAGAGCGGTTCTGGCTCCTGCGCTGGCACCTCCTGCTCATTATCACCAACACCTGCTGCTCATTCATACACTCATTAAGACCTGTATATCAGCGTCTGTGTACCTGTTCTTTGTGAAGTCTTGCAGTTCTCATTTGCAAACCTAAGCCATGTTATTCTGGGTTTTCTCTTTTTTTTTGCCTGTGGCCAATTTTGGGGAGTTTGAATACGGATATGTTAATAATGCTGCCTGTATCAGTAACTAAGTTTCCATGGACTTCCTGGGCAAATAGCAAGCGACGTAATGAAAATGTGTTTGTGATTTTTGCTGCCCAGCAGCTGGTTCTCATCAAACTGACTTCTGATGATAAAAATGCTTCAGATAGTGATGTCATTTCCTGCTAAAAGCTATTGTTGCATAAGTTTGGTTTATTGATTAAAAAAAAAAAGTTGCTTGGCATATTTCTGTCTCTAATTTCATGTATGTCACTTGTGTTCCTTTGACTTCCCCCAACTTACTCATAACCTACTGAAAAGGGCATTTTTGTTCATTTCTTTTCATTATTTTACTGCATTATCTTTTTTCTATTGGAAACATATTTGAGAGATCTCATTTCTCTGTTACTCAGAGCTGTTTGAGCTCTTTCCACTCAGAAAAGCTCTAGTCTTTTCTGGACATGTCTCTCTGTAAGAGCTGAAAAGTGGCAGCATTCTTTTTAAAAATGCTCTCCAGTACAGCCAAATCTCTCTTCGTCATGCTGTTTGTGTTTCTTGTAGGAAGCATGTGAGGGAAATCTGTCACATGACACTAAATTTAGGCATACATTTTTCAATATTTTCAACATTTTCAAAAGTTAAAGATCCAAATTTGGGGATTTGGAGACCTCTCTGGTGGGAATGTGTAATTGCTCACAACATTCTGTAAAGTCTTTAGCCATTAATTTAGCAATATCGATTTTTAAATCAATTATTTAGAATTCCAAGCACCACAAAAGTGCTTGTCCCCACAGTCATGTGTAAAGGGTGAGTGCCATATTTTGAAGAAAAAAACACACTTTTTCTGCTATTTTAACTACAATAATCTATACATGACTATGAAATATATAAATTAAATCACATAAAGAAAACAAATGGTAAATAAATATTATAAAATATATAATGAAAGTTGTTGACCCCAGTCGTGTCACTGGTGTTACTGCGTAACATAAACTCTCTCATTTTGAAATAAAATCACACTGATGTCATCACTTGACTTCCTTTTACCTGTTATCTGAAGATCTATAAAAAAACCCATGGTAAGTTCACTGTGTCTATTCAGTTATCAGAAATTTTCTCATCTAGCTCATGATTTCATATGAAGCTTTTAGTTGAAGTTACTGGTGTGACCTACTTTATTCTTACGCAAGTGTGAAAAAATAGAATACAAATGGATTAAATTACATATTTTAGTGGATATTCCATGACTGACAACATGGGGTCTGATGCTCTGTAGCAGCCACTTTGTAAAATGCATTTTTCATTAAAAATGTCACTGGTGTTACCTTTCTTATGTGTAACACCAATGAGGATAGGTAACACCAGTGACATGTGACACCTAAGGAGAGATAGAAAAGTGGACGTTTCTGTAGAATGACCCTAAAACATTTTTCATAAACATTTCTTTGGATGAAAACATCATCTTCGACAATTCCTGGATTCACCCCAGTCAGCTTCCTCTGCGCATGCAATGTGCCACTTCTGACTCCAAATCTTCAACAGTACATATTTGAAAAGCAGAGGACTTTTTCCTAGCCTAACCTCATAATGCTAATCTCCCACATGCTTTGGACTCAGACATAATAAACAGCAGACACCAACATGCATATACAGGAGTTTTATTGGAGTATGTTGACTAACAGTGCAACTGCATTTACAGAGGTGTTTACCTGTGTCTCTCTACAACTGATTTGCAGAGGTAGTAGATGCACTGGCACAATCAGGTGTCCTAGTATTGTGATATTAAGCAAACCTTATGAAAAAACACACCTTCTGCTCTCTCATCTGTTCAGTTGCTCATTTATACAGGTTCATTTGATTGATACAGGACACCAGTGAATTCTGGTTAGTAGAAAGTGACTTTTTCATCAACATAACATGCTAGCAAGCAAGTGCCACAAGACAAAGTAGCCTCAGTGGTTAAATGGCTATATTAACCAATATGTTATAGTGTGAGAGCTTAAATAGGTTTACAGCTCACTTGAATAAGCAAAGGAATCTAAAGGACATGAAAACTCATTTCCTTGTTGCAGGGCCGTAAAAACTGATTTCATATTTCATTTCATTGACATGAATGTCTTTCACACATTTATTTCTTTGGAGACAAATGTACATGTGGTAAACATCTAATAAACATCAAGGCGCTGACGTGAGTAAGTCAGTAGCTGTGTTCTATTGGCATATGTGGATAGTACTATAACATTTTTTCAATGGTCACTAACAACACTTTTGGAGATCTACTTTCCTGCAGAGTTTAGCTCCACCCCCCCAACCCCCCCACCATCTGATGCCCATGTGTGTTTTGAAAATGTGCATAAAAAATGCAGCTGGAAACGCCGCAACTTGGATGAGGTGAAAAAGTTGTTTTTTTGATTGAAGAATTGTTTTGCAAATATTAATTGAAATTTTGAAGAGTCAGTAAAACAAAAAGCTGATCAATTTTTGTTCCCATCAACTATGGTTATGCGCAAACATCATCGCTTATTTGAAAAATGTTCCCATCAACATTTTTGCATTTTTCATTAATTGATCTACCAACTTTTCCACTTTATCCAAACGTCTTTTTGTGATTTCTAGATATTTTTCCAGTTTCTGGCTTTTCCATCCAGCTTTTTTTAAGCACATTCAAAACTTCACAAAAAGTGGTGATAGAGGTTTTTCGAACGCTTGATGACGTAGCAGGAATGAAAGTCATGAGTTTGGCACTGCGTCTTATCAGAACTGCTTGCTGCAGAGACATTCCTAGGGCTTCTGTGTGTGACAGCGAAGTAGTACCAAAGAATTTGTATTGAGGAGAATTGACACTTAATAAAGTCTTAAAGTTAAATGGGTGCTCACGAATGAGTCCAAAATGATTGGTTTCCTTCGGCGCTTTTGTGCAAAATCATACTTTGTAAATGCTATATTAATCGATTTATACTGAAAATTTCACTCATTTTCTCAACACAGAACAGCACAAAATATTTCAATACTGCTGCTAGATTTTTGGCTGATTTATGTTCATGACATCAGTGAATGTGAACCGTTTTACTCAGCCAATGAGCTCATCAGCTCACTAACCAATCAGCACTCAGTAGTAGTTTTTTTTTTTCTGTGTAACACATCCTTCTACTTTCAAAATTAAGGAAAAGTCCCACTCAAATGGTTATAAATGTGCGTATTTTTGTTTTAGCCATTTAGCTCCACTCACCCAATTCATCAAGGACTAGCTCTCATTTTGCAGTCATGTAATGAGAGAAATAGGAAGTGGCCAGCCTCCCCCTAAACTGGCTCTTGTAGTAGAGTGACTTTAGGCCACATTAAATAAACCACTGTCCACTCTATCTGGAGTCTCTGAACTATTAGGGCTACAAACTACTCTGCCAAGAGTTTATGAGGGTTCAAATCCCTCCATTGTAGAGGGCAAGTGAGACTCTTGTCTTCAGGACTTTGCACATAAACGTAGTTGATGGAAACTCTAATCAATCCACGTTTTAGCAACTTATCAGAAATTCTCTTAATATTTGTGAAATGTTTGAATGGAAACTCATCTATAAACATATCTGATCCAGCCCATCCAGGACTTCTAAGGAATTTAATATGCTGGAGGATATGAGGCATGTTGTGGAACTAGGCTCTGCAGGAAGGTAGATCTTCAGAACCAGATGACCACTGTATTATGACATTATTGCAATGGTCACCAACCATCCTGCTGTAGATCTACTTTCCAGCAGATTTTAGCTCCAACCTAAATGTAATGCATCTGTATTAGCCAATCAAAGACTTCCAAAGAAGGTAATAAGCTGGAGCAGGTGTGGAAGACTGTGGAAATACACAAAGGTTGGTGACCACTCACTCTACCAAACCGTTATACTCCAATATTTTTATAAGGCACAACTGCATGCTAACTCAATAATGTATTGCTTATTTCTTTTAATTTCAGAGTGTTTCCCAAGGGATGAACATTAAATTAGCTTAGTCCATGGGTTAACTAGTTTAATCCATGCATGTCTTCACAAAACAGATGTAGAGGCTACATTTAAAATACTCTTTACAAATGAAAAGGGGTGAAAGAGGTAGCACGTCACACCTTTTCAGTTTGCAGCTGATTGCATTTATACAGTCTGAGTTTCCAGTACTGCAGTTTAATTTCAATGTACACATTAAATATTATGCCATTGTCACAGTTTGATAACAACAGCTTGATACATCTTGGTCATATCTTTAATAACATTAAATACAATGGGGTTTTTTTTTGGAAAAATAAATGTAAAAAAATTAGACAAAATTGAATTAGTACACACTAATAAATGACTTTTATGTTGCAACAATTAGGCAATTATAATATTAATATTGCATCTATAGTCAAAACACACCAAAACAAGCCATATTAATCTAATTATTGTTTTGTTTAAAATTGCAACTCACAACTGTCTACAGAAATGAACTTAATAAAAATAAAATTACATATAAAGTTTTAAAACAAAAGATTAACACCATAAAGAATGCATATAGGCTAGTCTCATATTTCCTTGGGTAAGGCTAGTTGGTGTTTAATTACTTTAAACTTTTTACTCTAAATCAAATGTCCAGTTATGTTTACATTGAATATGACTTTTTAGTCCTTTAAATAAAAATGAATAAACATATTTATTAAAAAATGCACATTTGACTAGACGAAAACAGCAATCAATGTGGTGATAGTGCTAATGTCTTAAAATGAGAAATTCAGATGTTGCCTCCAGACGTATTAAAACTTAACAAACTAAGATTTATATTCAAACAAATTAACCATATCTGTGGTTTATCTTTCCAAAAGCATGAAAGTAAACAATTAACATATTCTAATTAAAGTCATTAGCACTAATTCTGAGCAACATTTAGAACTGAGCTTCCCAAAAGCATTGTGGCATTATAAGTTTACTGATAAGTCACTGAAGCCACTGTCCTCATTAGCCACTTTAAACTATGAGCATTGTTGGTCTTTAGCATGCAAGATACATCGTTAGCGATGAACACATGGCCATTTAGCAGGTGCAGTTACAAACACCACTTTAGTTGAGTTTATTGACATTAGTATAACATGATAAAATGCAGAGATATTGACAAACTGGTTAATACTGAACGTGAAAACACATGTTGGTTACTTTTCACCATGTCAGAACAGTCAGTGTGTAAATATTATAACTAGCAACTACTCAAAAGATTCAATGAGCTCAGCTACTAAAACAGACTATGAAGTAGAGCTGGGCAATATGGCAATATTTATTGTGATAAATTACATCAAAGAATGCTTTTCTGATCATATTGTGAAAATCGTCAGTACTTATAAAACACCTGACTGCACATTTGATTAAAAATAGAGCATAATTAGCATAAATAGCCCTGTTTAACTGGATTTTGTGCAGCGCAGTGTGTGAAATGTAGTTCCAATATAAATAAATATCGTGACATGTTGTGTATCGTGAAAACATCTTAAAGTATCATATTACATCATTGCCATATTGCCCACCTCTACTATGAAGACAGTATCTATAATTCATGGACATGATGCACTAGACTGTACATGATTTATACTAAAAGGCCTCTATAGTGTTCTTTAGTACAAATTAATGTGTACACACTACAGGATCCAGAAAGCTGAAGCATAACTGCAAAAGTCAACGTGACCCTATAAGATCCTAATCCTGGCCTAAATTAGCTCCATGTACCCAGTTAAATCCTTTCTTTTGTTTTTACAAATATGCTAACTCTAGTGCAGCCTCCTTCTCATATACAAAAGCTTGAGCACTCCCAGTCCAAGTACATGTTTTGTTGATATTCTCAGAGAAGTCAACACAACAGTGCTCTACAAAGAACACACTTAAACATGGCATTTTCTGCAAATGTTAGTGTGCAATTTCTATTTCTGTTCTGGCACGTTAAAACAGGCCATATTTATGCTATTTTTTTGCCAATAGGTAAATTCAGTAAATAAACAGTGATTGTGCATTTAAATGTGCAGAAGCCTGTTCTCTGTAGAGGACGTGAAGATGTGTTAACATATTTTCACTTTGAAAATCAACAAAACATGTCATTTGACCAGGGGCGACCAAACTTTGCGTACGACTATAAGTTAATATGGTAAAGTGGGGGAAAATGTGTCTGTCAGAATCTGTGGAAAAAAAATATCACACATGCAAAAACACATTTTCATAAACTATTTATGTCAGCTATTTACTTGTTGAGTGACCTAATGATTCATTTGAATGCTCTGCATTAGAATTCAACACAAAGGTGTACAAATTTTTATTTTATGTAAGTTGATTTATTTGCCTCATCACCACCACTCCCCATCTCTGGGGGGCTACTTTATTATTTGAATAATTAGGAGTTCAGTATTAGTCTATGCCTATAAACACCTACATGCAACTTACAGGATATGCATAAATATGTAATGTACAGTCTTTTAGAACTCAAATATAGATATCTACTGTCCCCCGATATCCAACCCACAGACAGAAGTGAAGACATATCAACTATCAAAAATATGAAAATATCAAAAAATATATAAAAAGAAAGAAAATAAAGACAGTTTATTAGTTTTTAACTTATTTATTTTTTGTTTGCTATTTGTTATTTACTTGTTATTAGCAGTGCACCTTTACTTTCTCTTACTTCAGTTTTACTTTTGTTTCTATTTCTTTCTTTCATTCTTTCTTTCTTTTCTTTTCTTGTCTTTCTTGGTTGATAGGTTGGTTTACTCCTCTGTTCCGATAAACCTTTTCTCTTTAGTGACCCCTGGTGGTGTACAGGCATGGCAATACAAAGCCAATAGCAGACAAAAGAGGTTCATGAAAATGTGCTGGTCAAACGGATATGATTTTATGTTTTTTGTGTGTGTTTAGTGCATACAAAGATTAACACACAACGCATTGTTTTCACATCACATCAACAGTTAATGTTGTATATGGTAATACATAAGCAAGATATTTTAAATATATGCTATGATATATTTTATATATATATGCTATGATGTAAATTGGGTGTGGATTTAAAAGACACAACACTAATAATTTAATAATACCCCTCCAGGGGTTATATCTTTTATCTTAAAAGAATCCCTTAAATACACGTATGACAAAAAAGTCAATTATAAAGAGAAAAAAAAAGAATACTCGATTGGCCATGAAATCGAACTGATATACAAGAATCACAAATGTCATTCAAGTACAGCAAAGTGCTCTACTTAGTTACTACAAAAGATAATTCATCAAATAACAAGTGCCTTTCAAATTAAACCTTTAAAATGTTTTCCAGTTCATTAGGATTTAGCAGGCTGATTAGTATACCACATCAATAATTATTCTTATACACATACCTCTATACTAATAACACGTTGTTAGTTACGTTCTTTACATTTAAGGCAATGTATAACTCGTTAAATATCTAGTTTTACATATTTTCGCTCTCTCTCCCTCTATGTCTCTCTCTCTCTCTCAAAAAAAAACCTGAAAAAACACACAAAAAACACCACTCCAAAGCAAAATCCCTGCATGTCATAAAGTATTTACATTTAGAGCATGGAAGATTGCAAACTCAATTCCAAAAAGTTGAGACAGTAAGTAAAATGCAAATCAAAACAGAAAGCAGTGGTTTATAAATCTACTTTGACCTGCATTTGAACAAAAACAGTACAAACACAAGATAAGGAATGTTTTGTCATATCATCTTCATTGTTTTTATAAATATATATTAATTTTTAAATTAATGTCTGCAACATGTTCCAAAAAAGGGGGGCCAGGGGCAAATTAAGACTACAAACACTGATGGTGTGTAAGGTGGCACTGCTGAAGACTTGTCCAAAAGAAAAATGGCAAAAAGTCTGCTTCAAAAACTGGATCTTTTGGTGTCTTCTGTCCCAAAAGTTATTATTTAGTGGTGTTAAAAGAAACATGCTCCTGTCCCAAATTTTGGCACCATTTGGAATAAGTATTTGCAGGCACCATATTTGGAATGAGTGTATACTAACAAAAACAGAAGTTCTTAAGGTTAAACATTAAATATTGTTTTGTTTTTTGTTTTTTTGTACCGTTTTATAATCTAATACAGGTCAAACAGAATTTACTAATCACAGCTTTCCGCTTTTGTTAGAATTTCACACACTGTCCAAACTTTTTTGGAATTGGGTTTATATATATATATATATATATATATATATATATAATGTGCGTAGGTTCTATATTTGGTAATCATCCAGAAACGTTTTTTTTTCGTTTTGGTCAGGAATGTGTTATAAGGCCCTTGTTAATACCACAAGCATTATGATTTACATTCAACCATGTTAGATTGGCCTGAAAGAACGATTTCACCTACACAGATTATAGATTATGGGTGTGCAACTCACAGCAGTGGAGGGCTGACATGTTGCTGGTGAATGCATGACAGTTTCTGCAGAGGTTGAGCATGTAACACAAACTAAACACAGTGCTCAAAGGACAATGAGTCTCAATCCTCAGCAGAGCTCTTCCTGTTTCTCTGACATTCTGAGTTTCTGATCAGTTCCTGAGCTAAAAATATTAATACTAAAAATATTAATATGAACAAGTTCTGCTTGTCTCTATTAAAGCAATACTCCAGCGTTTTCCAGTCTTATTTTAAATCTGCCACGTCTGTAGTGTACAGCCATTTTGATGTGTTGCCTTTTACTGCTGAAAAGAACAGAAAACTCATTGATTGAAAACACATTTATAACGGAAGGCAATGGGCATCGGTTGAATTCCGTTGCTTTTGCAAAACATCTGTTTTTTGTACAACACTTGTGTGGATTCCTCAGTTAAGTCATTGTGAAATAAGCTGTAAATCTGTATTGAGATTTGCCAAATTTTAGGTGCCCCAGTCAGATGATATGATTTGTCACATCCTTTGCAGAGTGATAGCGCATTAAAATCGGCAGAGGTCCTGTAGAGGATGAGTACTTATTTTCACTTTTAATTTTGATGTGATTTGACCAGGAGCGCCCAACCATTTGCATTTGACTATAACTAGTGTTACAGAGATAAGATCATTTGTGTTAATTTGCTACCAGCATAGCACAGGCTCTGCCTCATCTCCAGAAAACTTCATAAGAACAGTTTTGGCAAGACTTTGGAGGTGACTGAAATAGACCCTCATTGTGTTTTATGGCACTAACGTTGGTCACTGTTCTGGAATTCTAGCGATTTTGAGGGCACTACAATCTCAGGGTGTCAGGGTGGATTTTACAAGTTTTTCAGACCACGTCTTTAAGTATTAATGTCACACACACAGTCTCAGAAAGAAGGTCAGGCTCAATGTTTAGATCCCAAATGCAAAATCAATATTATACTGATGAAGATATGATGACAATAGTAGATCATTCACTCGAAGATACATCCTTCACCATGTTTTGACTGAGTTCTCTTTGAATATGTTTTCAACAAGCTCGCAATCATCAGATTCATCCACTCAGGGAAGGGGTCCGAAGCACAACTGACAATATAATGTAATTAAATTCATGGTATTCAGTCACATATGTCAAATGCTTATTTTTAACATTTAGCAACTGCCCAGTGGCTTCTATTATAAGCTAGTTTTGAGTCAAGATGTTTTGTTCTTTTCTAACCAGAAACTATAGTTATATCCATAACCAACCTGCTGGACAGTGCTTCTGAAACGGAAGTCACATAACCTCACATTATTAGTTGGCACGGTCATATCTGGAATACAGTGGAGAAATGACAGTAGACGCAACCACTGTGAACCTTGATGTTAGAGAAACACATTTACACATTTTTCTAAACTGCTGTCCAGTACGATACAGATGTGGCAGATGATTCATTTAAGCAATGCTGGAGTACTGCTTTACACTTAGTAGACTTCATTAGTTTGCATCCACAGTCTCTAATTATACAGCATAATGCAGGATGTATCTTTTTTGCCAAATCAATTTTTCCCTCAGTAGGCCCTCACAGGCCTCCATTCACATTTCTTGGTTTACATACTTTAACTGAGTGCTAATATACAAATGTAACATCCTTCCTACCAACTAACCCCTCAGAGGAATTAAGGTTTGCTTTGGCAGTCGAGTGTTGATTTTTGTATCCCAGTGTGATCAGCGTCTCCTCACCTGCTGAGGTCACATAGCTGGGATAAAAGTGCAGAGTTGATTTGGAAGAAGTTTAAATGTTGGTTTCCCGCTGCATGGTTTCTTCAGCTTTCACAAAGAGCTCCTCAGAAGCCTGTGCATCTGTATTCGCGCCAGCCTCCACCTCAGCCTGGTCCTTGTCCCTGTCTGGATCCTCAGTCTCAGTCCGTTTGTACATCTCCTCCTGCTTGCGCTCTCGCTCAAGCAGACGGTAATTGATGAAGTTGCCAATGAAGAGCCAGATGCTGGCTAAGATCACCACCGACCCACAGCAGATGTACATGTACTTGTAGCTTTTAGTGACGTCGACCAGTCTCCCTGTAAAGCAACAAATGCAGGACATTTTATTCAATTACATTTATATAATTTTAAGGAACACTCAGCGTTTTTTTTAATTGCTGACATTGCCAGCTTAATCTTGTAAGGTTAGTATTGCATTTTCTTGCAGACACGTGTTTAAAATGATTCTAATATGATGCTAGTGCACCTACAACTTCATAGTTCAAATAATTTGTAGGAAGGTGAAACCAAGTAATACATTTTGGACGTGTCCAGAATAAGAGATGACTCTTTATTTTTACTGTCAAAGTGCTGTAAAATGCAATGGTCAACAGTCATTAAAAGGTTACATGCATGTAAATTAACCTTACCTATACTGTATTTGAACACTGTTGTTGTAATTTACAAAAATAGAATGTAAATTCACATAAGTTTTCACCTTTATTTCAAAATTACAGTCATTTAATTTCTTTGAAATACTGACAGTTATTTTGTAGATTTTTACTGTCATTAAAAAAAACATACTTTTACCATTAATTAACAGGTTTTGTCTGGCACCTCTGCTGCCAGACTTTTTACTGTATTTTTACAGATATTTTTTATAGTGTACTCACAAATATGGTGTCAGTGCTTTCAACAGAATTTCTCTACTTTTTTCAATGAGTTATGAGATATAATTAATATAAAATTACAGCATGGTTTTGTTATCGCAAACAATTACACCAACTTCCAAAGGTTAAAGCACCAGCAGCTGACTTAAGCAGGCGGTAATTAAATTCAATTATTACCTGCCAGTGGTGGTCCGATAAGGACAGGGCAGCACTCCACGATGGTGGTGAGCCCCACAGCACTGGAGAACCTCTGAGCTCCAACCAGGTCCATGAGTGTCTCGAACAGCACTGCGCTCACCATCCCGAACGCAAACCCAAAGAACACAGCATACACCACCATGCCTGTGTAGGTCTCAGCCAGCGGGCACAGTACGTGGCACACCCCGTTATAGAGAACTGCAAAGCTGAAGAAATACTGGATCTTTGGCCGCACCCAGCGTGAGTTTGCTAGCAGGCCCATAGAGGGTCGGGCAAACATGTCCACGAAGGCCAGGATGGATAGAAGAAAGGCTGCTGAGTACTCGTCCACACCATTATCCTTGGCATATGGAGACAGGAAGACAATAGGGGCGAAGAAACCTACAAACATGATCACATTTCCAGACAGGTAGATGAGGAAGCCTCTGTGTTTAAACAGTGAAAGGTCTAGGTATTTATTGACTGTCTGCCAGGCGGTAAGCTTTTCTGTCTTTGTAGCTGGAACGACAGCAGTCTCCTCATCCTTGCTACTCTTCGGGGGCTGAGGCAGAGGCCTCATGAGGGATCCAGCCACACAGCAGTTGAGCAGGAGCCCGCCTAAAATAAGGAAGCTGCCTCTCCAGCCAAAGGCATTGATAAGGTACTGGTTCAGAGGGGCTAAAGTGCTCAGAAAGACAGGGCTGCCTGCCATGGCCAAGCCATTAGCAATGGGACGTTTCTTGTAGAAATATCTCCCAATCATGGTCAACGCTGGCTGAAGGTTGAAAGCAAGGCCGAAACCTTTAAGAGAACAAAGGTGGTTAATGTGAAAATGAAATAAAGGTACACGTCAGTGTTTTTCAAACAAATCTCCTTTTTCCACGTTTGTACCATGCTGTCAGTTACCACAGACGAAAACTTTATGTATTTAGAAAAAGAACAGAAATCCCATTGACTCAAAACGCATTTATAACACAACTTAAATCAGAAGCTATTGGACAGTTTGCCGAATTCCTCTAAAATGAACTCTGTGAAATGGGTATACTCATTTAATGATTTTTTGAAAATGAATTCTTCATTCAAAACTATTTGAAAATAATTTTTTTCTCTATTTTTCTCATAATCTTTCTTTAAAATATAAACCAATAATATCATGTTTCACCTTCCCCTCCCTCCACCCCAACCAACATCAAGATAAAACTCTCACCCAGCTCAGAGACAGACATTAGAACGCAATAGTCACCCAAATAGCCAAAATTGTTTCTGCAAAACTTCCCCAAAACTTCTCTGAACCCACTCAAACTGCATCCATTTTGGTCTTCATTAAGGTTGTGCAGACTTGCCAATGTGGTTTAGAGCACAGCATGACTGAGTTCTAAAAAACGAACAAAACTATCAGACACAAGGGCTGGTATTCACAAAGCCAGACTGATCTTGGATCGAATTCCTCTGTATATATGATGGTCATTGTCACAAATACTGATTCTCATCAGCACTCGGTGGTTTGTGAACATAGACTCTGCTGTCTAAAGTGTCTGTCTGCAGCATTCAGCTACACAGTGATGTTCTGTTCATCTGTATAACTGACAGTAAGTCATACTGTGTCCTGAACCACATCGCAAGTCTGCACAAGCTTAATGAAGACCTGGATGTGGACTACCAAGTCTGTAGTCATTCTTTAGTCTTTAGGTTGCCAAGAGATCACAGTGTTATGCATGTAACCTTCATAAGCATACTAGAGACGTGAAAGCTTGCCAGACATTACAAGTGACCAAAGGGGTGGGTGGCTGTTCTTTTAATCGACATGGCATTTTCAAGATTCAAGCTTCCAAGATCTGTTCATAAAATGTAAATGGTAAAAGAAAGTTCCCTCTACATTTTTAGATTTCTCTATACATTTTAGACTTCAACAGAATGATGAAGCGAAGAACTGTTAACTGCTATGGTGAATGGCACCCCCGACCTCCGCAGGGTATTGTGCGCATGGCTTGTATAATCACATTTTCAAACATTTATTGACGGAAGTCAGCAGCTGCCCATTGGCTTCCATTATAAGTGAGTTTCAAGTCAATGTTTTTCTGCAAAGAGAAGAGCACCAAAGTTATTGTCCGTGGAAATAAACTGTATTCACATGCAGCAGATACTGGAGTATCCCTTCAAGAAAAAGGTAAACAATCAGGAATTTGTTGATCATTCTGTAGTGTAGGAGCCCCCCTCAACATTAATCCTTAATGAATGTAAAAATGATTGAAGCAGATTCTGGTATTCTGTTTGAGCAGAGGCATAAGTTTAAAGGGCCCATATGCTACATTTGTGTTGTGTTTTATTTTTCTAAGGACATGTATGTGCCACATTCACATTCACAGTTCAGGCTGAAACACTGCTAATGATTTCAGTGTGAATGGGCAGGGTTAAACTGCTGTAGGCTAAATTAGGCAGATGTATGCCAATGTGTTTGTGACAACACAGAAACAGTGAATTCATAATGGGGTGTTTTTGCAGCTAGTTACCATATATGGACTGTATGGACTGGGGAGTGAATGCTACATGAAACAATGTCTACATAATGCATCAAGAGCTTATATTTCAAGAAAGAAAGTGAGAAACATGTAGTTTTATATTATATAGGCCCTTTAAAACAATCAGCCAGTATACCTTAATTGTAGTGAATAGTTGTAGAGCTCATTTGGGACAGACAGTAGATTCAGCTACACCCATATAAGTATGGTGTCATTAGACTTTTTCCTGCTCTTGGTGTTCATTCTCTACTAAAACTCTGACAAAGTCTTATAAAGCCATCATAATCTCCTTCATCTAAGTGTCAATCATGGTTAAAACTCAAAGTCTCGTTATCTTCCAAACTGCAGCAGCTCTGCCAGCGCATTACTGCGAGCACATTGTTTACTGCCAGTTCCTTGAAGAAGACGACTCTAATCAAATTAGCAACAAGCTTAAGTGGAATTTGCGTGCACTCACCCCCGATCACTCCGATGCAGATGTAGAGCTGCACAACGCTGGAGCAGAAAGAGGCGGAGATCATGCCCACTGCACACAGAAATCCTCCCACTATCATTACTGGACGGCAGCCGTACGTGTTTACTAGGATGCTGCTTATGGGGCCTGAAACAGAGGACAGAAAAGATTAAGAAGGGAATCAGATGTTTTCTTGTTTGGGACCAATCCATAACAATCCATGGGAATATGAAGGGGAAAAACAACATGGTTAGTTAATGACATAAGCTCATTACTCCTTAAAATGGGATGGCAAAGACTCCATCACTTGAACCAGATTTAACATGCTAATTAGTCTGTGCCAAGTCTGAGGAAAACAAAAAGTGGGACAGAGTTTGCTAAGTGTAATGTTCAAAACTAAAAAGTGTGGTTCTAAGGTGGTCTGGAATTAAAGAGGGTCGGGTTAGCCTTGGCAAACATGTCATTGAAGGGAGCGTATGCTTTTAGGACTGATGTTTTAAATGGAGTATGGCTCAAACAGAGCAGCCGCATGAATAAGAATCTCTTCACACAAGTAATACTACTTTATGATTGTCACTGTTAAGAAGGATAAATATAGTACTGTGCAGATATATACTGCGCGGCAAGATATTTCCCCTGTTTCAATTTCGGTTTTAACAAGACAAAGCAATTCTGTTTTGGCACTTAACTTCTCAAAAAGCGTTTTGCATATTGGCTAGCCGATAAGCTCGCTGAGGCTATTCTGTTGACGTTGCATTACATTTGGATAATCCGCTCCTTACTGTCTCCTCCTCCCCTTCTGCTGCAAGCTTCATAGGTAACATGCACACATGCACCGTTGTGTAACTGCTGCAAAGCACATCCGAGTGGTAAGTCAAAGTGGGTGAAGGCAAGTTAAAAAAAGAACTGAAACCAGGGCACTGGTAGACCACCAAAACTCTCACCATCAGATAAACAGTACTTAAAGAGAGGAGAAAATTAAGCTCCACTATTGCATCAGATCAGAAAGAATCCACGTGTTTCTGTAAATCCTTCCACTGTTAGAAGACAATTCAACACTATGAGTCTGAAAGGATGTGTAGCTGTCAAGAAGCTATTACTGAAATAATGAACTGGCCAAAAAAGAAGAAGCTTCTATTAAAACAAAGAAGCTGCTGGTGTTCTCATAACAATGGACAGACAACCCCAGAGTCCAGACTTCAACATCACTGAATTACTTACTACCAAGTGATTACTTGGATCATAAGAATGAATGCAACCAATGTCTAAGACTGAATTTTGGAGGTATGGAAAAATGTCCCTGCAGATTTCTTTGAAAAACCACAAAAAAGCCACACTCATTGCTAACAGGTGGATCAAATGAAGCACATAGCCTTGAAATTTTGATAGACAAACACTGGCAGTAGAATGGGTTGTACTGATGAGCTCAGTGACTTTAAACATGGCACTGTCATAGGATGCCACCTCTGCCACAAGTCGGTTTGTGAAATTTCTGTCCTGCTAGATTTGCCCCGTCAACTGTAAGTGCTATTATTGTGAAATGGAAGCGTCTAGGAGCAACAACAGCTTGGTCACGAAGTGGTATATCACGCAAACACACAGAGTGGAGCTGGCGAGTGCTGAAGCGCACAGTGCCTATCCTCTGTTGAATCACTCACTAAAGAGTTCCAAATGGCCTCTGGAAGCAACATCAGCAAAAGAACTGTGCATCAGGAGCTTCACAAAATGGGTTTCCATGGCTGAACAGCTATACACAAGACTAAAATCAAAATGCACAATGCCAAACGGGGGTGGTGGGGGGATGGTTGGTGTAAAGCACGCCACCACTGTACTCCGGAGCACTGAAAAGCGTATTCTGTGAAGTGATGAATCGTGCTTCTTTATCTGGAAGTCTGATGGACAAGCCTGGGTTTGGTGAATGCCAGAAGAACATTAGCTGCCTGACTGCACTGTGCCAGCTGTAAAGTTTGGTGGAAGAGGGATAATGCTATGGGGCTGTTTTTCAGGGGTTGGCCTAGGCCCCTTAGTTCCAGTGAAGGGAAATCTTAATGCTTTAGCATACCAAGACATTTTGGACTGTATGCCTCAATCTTTGTAGGAACACTTTGGGGAAGGCCATTTTCTGTTCCAGCATGATTGTGCCCCAGTGCATAAAGCAAGGCCTATGAAGGCATGGTTGGGTGAGTTTGGTGTGGAAGAACTTGACTGGCCCGCACAGAACCCTGACCTCAACCCCGTCAAACACCTTTGAGATAAACTAGAGCAAAGACTGTAAGCCAGGCCATCTCGTCCAGCATCTGTGTCTGACCTCACAAATGCTCTTCTGGATGAATGGGCAAAAAATCCCACAAACACACTCTAAGATCTTGTAGAAAGCTGCCCAAAAGAGTGGAAGCTGTAAGCTGCAAAGGGGGGGAACTAACTCCATATTAATACCTATGGATTTACAATGGGATGCCATATATATACACATAACTTCAAAAATAAGCATCATTGTCATAGTTACCCATACAATTGCTGTGAAAAAACATTTCAAAGTAAAATGAACATGGTAGCACAAGGAGAGGCCTGCGGTAATGAAAAAATAATCTGCACCATCCCAGTAATGTCCTGAGAGGTGTTATTACCGCTGCTGAAAAAGTGTGCTGTTCGAAATCAGGTTAGGTGAGACACTGCTATGCTTAATTTGTCCCATATAAATTTGCATTAGACCTTAAGCTATCAGGAACACCTTATTTGCATGCAGAGCAGCTGGAGAGTTCTACCAGTGAGAGTAAGGGTTCACTGGCAGCCGTTACACTCAGGCCTTCAAATGATCTCTGCTTTAAAAGGCTTATAATGTCACACTCTTCCGTGCTCTGGAGTTTGATGAAGGCAGTTAATGTAGGTGGCCTTCCCTCATGGTTTAATCCCTAAATAGAACTGGACGGAGCTAAAATTAGCATGCAGCACTTGGCTGAGTGAAATAATCATTGAATTCTTGCACTAAAAATGACACAAAGTAAAATGTAAAAACTTTACAACAACCCTTGTTCACCCTTGTACTTGACAGCTGCTACATGTACAAGGCCATATCTTTAGGTGTGTGTAAAATTGTGAGGGCCTAATGCTTGTGTTGTCTTCTTGTTTCTGACTGGCTTTATGTCAATTAAAACACTACAGAACAATTTGTTGTATAAATGTTTCACTGCCCAACTTCCTTTTTAATTCTTTGAACCTGTGGTCTTCATATTAGTCCAGACAGCCCACATTTTTGATTCAATCTAATTCACAATGCATAAAGAGCAAAAATGTGGAACACCTCAGGGCCTAAGAACCACTTTGAAGACCACTACATCAAACTCGAAGGGCCCAAAATAATAAAAAACAATATCATTAATCATATAACTCAATAATTACTTACGATTACTAAATAAGTCAATGGAATTTAATGCCACTGACAAATTTATGTAGTAAACACATCAAACACTCGGTTTTGATCAAAAGAGTGCAAGAGAGAGGAGGAGAGAACGCTGAGAACTCGGGCAGGACTTCTGGGCGGCATCTACTTTAAGCTACAAGGCTGGATTCCCCTTTTTAATGAACGGAAGATGGGGTGGTGGTGAGGTGCAGAAAGGGAAAGTTGAGATGGAAAATTTAAGAACGTTGGACTGGAAGGAGGAGGCTTGGATGCTTGATTAGCCAAGCTGTTTGAAATGGCGAAGGTGCTGGCACTGCTTAACGCAAGGCTCATATTATTGTGCTAACATGCTCACTTATTTACGAAGACATTACCCAAATATGTCAGTTACCAGAGCAAGGAGAAAACGCAAAGCTAAATTTAGCCAGCTTTAATCTCTGTTCCACCTTAAATGGAGCAGCAGTTACATGGTAGTGCTGCTTCTTTTAAGGTAGAATGTAAGCTTTAACAAACCAACTTTGGCCTTGTGGTGAATGCACAAGTCTCAGCAGTTACTTCTCCCCACAGGATTCAAGCAGCCATATAGGAGTCAATCCGTCGTATTCTAGACAAAGCAACCAACTTGCTCATTAGGGATGTTACTAGCTACCAATTAGCACCTCTATTCGGTTGTAGAGTTTATATTCTTTTTATATATTTTATGTCTTCTAAGAAAATGACTTGTTTCAGTTATCGCTCCAACAAGCACTGTTGTCTTTCAGAGAAATTACCAAACAAACAAACACGTTTTAGGAATTCGTAAAAATTTAATACATATAAAAATAAATGTCGAAGTTGTATTAGCATTTCTTTTCTAATTCTGTATCAAAAATATATCATGAATTGTGCATATCATTACATCTCTAAACAGCACCATTCACAGCCAGTCCAAACCAGACACTAAACAAGCAGTCTGGCCAACATTTGTAGGGGCTTCCTTTGGTAGGAGTTCAACTGGTAGGTGCAGTAAAGAGAGACACACCTGGATGATTTTATTATGGATACAACACTATGACACGAAAGATAACAAGTTAATGCATGTGTGACAACAGACCATTCAGTTCCTCCTCTTTGAAATGCATGACCAAAGCAAAGGCTAATGAATCTGCTTTATATGGTTCGTTGCACATTGAAGGACTCGTGTAACATAAACATCAGGCTAAGCCTGTTGCCAGGTGATGTTAAAGATGCACAACAGTGCTAGCCTCTCTTGGCCTATGATCAGGCAGGTAGATTTAACTCCATGCTCAACATGTGTGTAAGAAGGCAGTTTGGTTTGAGATTTTAACATAAGGGCATGAGAAGTGAAAGATCAGTGAAATAGTCATCTACACAAAATGTGCAAACAGCATCTTTGACTAAAGGATACCAAGGTCTAACATATGTAACTCCATACAGGTTCAGAACATTACTGAATTAACTGGCCTTCACATCTAGCCAAATATCAAAAGAACACAAACTTTCAAACTGAACCAGTATAGTACAAATTGTGGTTTATCAGGAACAAAGCAACATATGAACATAATATTCTAGGATTCAGATTCAGCTCGTTTTAGCCTGGGCCCTTCAATCACATTACATGATACACTGATGTTGAATATAATTGGCAAAGCTTGCTACTGCTAGAACAAACTCATTTCCAAAGTTTACCAAACAACTGTGTCTGTAGTTAATTCACCTTCAGTACAATGTCTGTTCCAACTGCTTT